ATTAGCAGACTTATATTTATATTCTTATGAAGCAGAATTTATACAAAATCTTTTGCGTGAAAAGAAGAAAACACTTGCTGTGGCCTTCAACTCGACATTTAGATATATCGACGACGTATTGTCAATTAATAATGATAATTTCCATTCCTACGTCGACACGATATATCCTGGTGAGCTTGAGGTTAAAGATACCACAGAGTCCGACACTTCTGCTTCATACTTGGATATTTTACTTAAAAAAGACACTAATGGTAATCTAACAACCAAGCTATATGATAAACGTGATGACTTTAACTTTTCTATCGTCAACTTTCCTTACTTATGCAGCAATATACCTTCATCACCTGCATACGGAGTATTTATATCTCAGTTGATTCGATACGCAAGAGCATGCTCTACGTATGAACAATTTCTTAAACGAGGTAAATTATTGACAAGCAAGTTGATGAAACAAGAATATCAACAGTCTCGTTTAAAGTCATCATTTCGTAAATTCTATGGTCGATACAATGACCTTGTCAGCAAATACAATTTATCATTGAATGAAATGCTGACTGACGTTTTTCATACCAATTGTTAGTCCATTATTTATACACTGAATTGACCACGGATTTTTTCCGGTATTTCCTGATTATGACCACGAGCACACGGCGGGTGTGATCGGTCGGCAGGGGATGCTCACTCCTCCATGGCACCTGATCACACCTCTGATGTTTCGGAGGTCCGTGTTTGCTCTACTCTTATTCTTTATATTTGTTTAATGGACGTTGAGATTGAATACTGTTCGTTATTTCCATATCCTTCTAAATCAAATCAACACAAACATTTTCAAAAAACAATTTCTGCCAAATATTGTACGAGCTACATGTAATGCATTTACAGTATTACATACCATGAGGCATATAAAAACAGTTATATAAAACAGTAGATAATTTAAATATATGCCTGAATATACAATGACACGTTGAAATTCAATTAAAAAACACTTTATAATAGACTAAAAAATATTGCTAGAAAATTGGTATATATGTACCTTAAAGTAAAATAAATGATAAGCATCGTTGTTATTGTTTTTATTATGTGATTTAACGAAAAAATATAATAACAAATCTCGTTATTCTTTTAAAGATTTATTCTATAGAGAATAATACATACCCTTTTCCATATCACATCCTGTATCAGCCCGAGACACCAATATCAGCCAGAGGGCCGAAGGCCCGAGGGCTGATATTGGTCGAGGGCTGATACAGGATGTGATGTGGAAAAGGGTATGTTTTATTATATTTATTACATACTTAGTAATAAAATACAGAACACATTCAGTTGAGAAGAAAGTAAGTAAATAATCATGCATGGCCTTCTTACATACATGTACATAGTCTAATGTCTCATAAGATTTGGTTTTTTTTCTACTTTTATTTCAATGCTCTTGATCCGTCATTTGAAAATATTCGATAGTATTACATGTATTTGTAAATTAAGATTAACCTTATTTTCAAAAAGTTAAAATTAAGTGAATATGAACGCACCAACCATTGTGTACGATAACAAGTACTGTTTTGTGGTTTAATTTACTAAGGGTGTGATATTGACGTCACAGTAGCCGTATCAACCCTGCAGGGCTGATATGGATTTGGAGGGCTGATACGGATATCAGCCCCGCAAATCCATATCAGCCCTGCAGGGTTGATACGGCTATTGTGAGGTCATCCGTATCGCATATGCAAAAAACCTGTATTTATTACTAAGTGTGTAATAAAAAAATATATTTTTTTTCATTTCAAAGATTGTTTTTTTTTAATTTTAAACAAAAACAATATTTTACAATGCATCATATTAACAAAGTAATATACACTATTTCAAGGGAAAACTATAAGAGGCAATAAGGAGACAAAAACATAAAGTGTAACTGAGCATTCACACAGTTTTGCAGCAAATCTTATATCATACAAACTTATTTTTCAACCAAACAATTGTAGCATTACAGCCGTAATTTAAAATATTGAAGTATGAAATCAAATAATGGATCATGATCTTTATAAATATCAAGGATGAACAAGGATTGACAAGTAAAATTTAATGATTGATAAAACAGGCATTCTACCTTAATGACATTTGTGACTAAAATTGTTCCACTTTTGCAGAGTGATTAAAAATAACAGTGCAACTTCACATATTTATTGATGAGTTGAACATATTTATTGATGAGTTGAAAAATTTATATAATTAACAACAACATATATTGAGTGAAAATTGTGAACAATGCAATGCAAACCTTAATGCTTATAAATACATGTATTAACAAATAAAAATTTTAAGACACATGTAAAAGCGAGGGAAGTTAAAACATTGCGTATAATGTCAGTTTTTATGCTCTTATTTTCATACATTTAATGTGCACTATACGGAATTATTTTTTTTTCTAAAGAATGTAAACTCTCATGTTTATTTGATTTACTCAGCATTATCCGCCTCTCAGCACTTTCTAAGTATTCAAACCAATCTTTGAGTTTTCAAAACTTATTTGATAGTCACAGTGCCCTCTTTAGAGCCGACACACACTTTCAGTGTAACATAGGCATCAAAGTTAAACCACCATAATTATAACCTTGTCCAGAGTCACCATTCTCTCTTTTACCGAATCTTCTATTCTTCAGTAGACATAACACGTGCAAGCACACAAGCAACGATTTCAAAAAAATAGCGCTTATCCTAAACTTACGGAACATTCGTCTTGTTTAACCTTTAACAGACGGACCATTTTAGAATAGCACACAATCGTACTCGCTGAACCTTACCCTTACAATAACATCAACCCAAACATCCAGGAAAATAATGCCCTTCTATAAAATCACTTTTCAAAAAACTATGTCCACTAATCATTCTAAACAAAGGATGTTACAGATCAAATGCAAAATTTTAATCATAGATAAAAGTTTTAATTCTATTTAAACGATTTCCTCTGTATGTATAATTACTATACATGAGTGCTAGCAGATTTTATCACAATCGTATTTATCCACCATTAGATTTGCATTAAGGGGTCTTGTAAATGATAATAAACCCCAATCTGTAGCAGTTCCTTCAAATATCAAACCTCTAGGAAATATTCATAACATCTCATCCTCATTCAATGTTACCAGTGGAGTGTAAGTATCTGACAAACCTTACTGTTTGATATCAGTCTGCTCCTGTAGCAGCTACTTTAATGTCCACCCGACATGATGCTGTCAGTGGTATATGACACCCATTCAGTTCATTGAGACAAAATCATATCCCTAGAAGCTCCTTCACTACACTCGTCCAACACAAATATATCATCCATTATACGCTACCGTAAGTGGAGTATTAATGTTATTCTTTAAATTGATATCAGCTCAGACTTCTATACTCTCTTCCACTATACTCATATTTCAACTATTATATGCTGCTATCAAGTGGTGCACTATATTCCTTGTTGATTGATATCTGGTCAGGCTTCTAGTAGCTCTTTCACAACACTCGTATATCCCCTCCCACGTCCTGCTTCCAGTGGTGTATCAAACCCACCTTGTGGATTAATATCGGCTCCGGCGTCTATTAGCTCTTTCACTACACTTCTGTGTCCTACCTTATATGCTGCTGTCAGTGGTGTATGAAACTTACCTTGTTGATTGATATCAGCTCCGGCTTCTATAAGCTCCTTCACTACACTCATATGTCCACCTTCACATGCTGCTATCAACGGTGTATTAAAAATGCATTAAAAAATGAAATGAAATCGAATTTTTTACTATTACAATCACATGATTTGACAAAATTCAAAGAGAAAATAAATCATATGTTTCAAAATTCCTTGTGATTCTAATACCAGTTATAGCGTTATTGGCATTATCTGCTGCCGTGATAAACTATATATACATGTATACACATTTATTAATTCACTATAAAGCACACTAGGTTTTTTTTTTCGGTATTATATGCTGCCATGATAAACTATATATACATGTATTCACACTTTTAAGTCCACTATACGGCACACTATTTTTTGCTATGTTATTTTTCATGTAACTGTAAAACATTATGTTTAAAATATATTCAAAATGAATAAGTCAATAGATCATCAAATGAAAATGTAATGCCAGATTCAAACTATGTATGTGAGGAAAAAATATTCATGTCTTTGTAACATTCATTCATTCTGATGTGTTATTATAATCTAATTTTATTATCACAAAACTCTACATATTGAACTTGTTTTATAAGCTGTAAAACAAAAAAAGACCCGTATTTGAGGGTGACCTGGCCCTAAATACTAGTTGCAGTGAGATTGACATAGACTTCTTTCTTTTTTCCCCACACAATCTCCACTGCAACAAGGGTCATACTTCTATTGGTATTAAATGTATACTTTCTTATCATATATAAAAATGATGCTAATTTGTCTTGAGATATTTATGTAGATGTATGAAAATGAAGCATCAACAATCATATATTAGCATAATGTGAAAAAATTCTGTTCAAATTTTGATATATTACATAAAACTATATCGATCCAGGAAGCTCCTGGCACCCCTGGTGAGGTATTATCAGAGGGCTTCTGCGGAAGTTTTACCTCACTGTTATATTGTATGTTATTGAATAAATAATAGGAAATATTCATAACATCTCATCCTCATTCAATGTTACCAGTGGAGTGTAAGTATCTGACAAACCTTACTGTTTGATATCAGTCTGCTCCTGTAGCAGCTACTTTAATGTCCACCCGACATGATGCTGTCAGTGGTATATGACACCCATTCAGTTCATTGAGACAAAATCATATCCCTAGAAGCTCCTTCACTACACTCGTCCAACACAAATATATCATCCATTATACGCTACCGTAAGTGGAGTATTAATGTTATTCTTTAAATTGATATCAGCTCAGACTTCTATACTCTCTTCCACTATACTCATATTTCAACTATTATATGCTGCTATCAAGTGGTGCACTATATTCCTTGTTGATTGATATCTGGTCAGGCTTCTAGTAGCTCTTTCACAACACTCGTATATCCCCTCCCACGTCCTGCTTCCAGTGGTGTATCAAACCCACCTTGTGGATTAATATCGGCTCCGGCGTCTATTAGCTCTTTCACTACACTTCTGTGTCCTACCTTATATGCTGCTGTCAGTGGTGTATGAAACTTACCTTGTTGATTGATATCAGCTCCGGCTTCTATAAGCTCCTTCACTACACTCATATGTCCACCTTCACATGCTGCTATCAACGGTGTATCATAGTTACCTTGTAGATTGATATCAGCTCCGGCTTCAATAAGCTCCTTCACTACACTCATATGTCCACCCTTACATGCTGCTGTAAGAGGTGTATCAAACTCACCTTGTTGATTGATATCAGCCCCAGCTTCTATAAGCTCCTTCACTAAACTCATATGTCCACCCCCACATGCTGCTGTCAGTGGGGTATAAAACTCACCTTGTTGATTGATATCAACTCCAGCTTTTATAAACTCCTTCACTAAACTCTTATGTCCACCCTTACATGCTGCTGTTAGTGGTGTATGAAACCGACTTTGTAGATTGATATCAGCTCCAGCGTCTATTAGCTCTTTCACTACACTCCTGTTTCCACCCTCATATGCTGCTGTCAGTGGTGTATGAAACGTACCTTGTTGATTGATATCAGCTCCGGCTTCAATAAGCTCCTTCACTACACACTTATGTCCACCTTCACATGCTGCTGTTAGTGGTGTATGAAACCCACCTTGTAGATTGATATCAGCTCCGGCTTTTATAAACTCCTTCAATATATTCATGTGTCCATCCTTACATGCTGCTGTCAGTGGTGTATGAAACTTACCTTGTTGATTGATATCAGCTCCGGTTTCTATAAGCTCCTTCACTACACTCATATGTCCACCCTCACATGCTGCTGTCAGTGGTGTATCATAGTTACCTTGTAGATTGATATCAGCTCCGGCTTCTATAAGCTCCTTCACTACACTCAAATGTCCACCTCTACATGCTACTGTTAGTGGAGTATGAAAATCACATTGTAGATTAATATCAGCTCCGGCTCCTATAAGCTCCTTTACTACACTCATATGTTCACCTTCAAATGCTGCTGTAAGTGGTGAATGAAACTTACCTTGTTGATTGATATCAGCTCCGGCTTCTATAAGCTCCTTCACTAAACTCATATGTCCACCTTCACATGCTGCTGTTAGTGGTGTATGAAACCCACCTTGTTGATTGATATCAGCTCCGGCTTCTATAAGCTCCTTTACTAAACTCATATGTCCATCTTCACATGCTGCTGTCAGTGGTGTATGAAACGCATCTTGTTGATTGATATCAGCTCCGGCTTCAATAATCTCCTTCACTATACTCATATGTCCACCTCCACATGCTGCTGTCAGTGGTGTATGAAACTTACCTTGTTGATTGATATCAGCTCCAGCTTCTATAAGCTCCTTCACTACACTCATATGTCCACCTTCACATGCAGCTGTAAGTGGTGTATCAAACATACCTTGTTGATTGATATCAGCTCCGGCTTCTATAAGCTCCTTCATTATACTCTTATGTCCACCCCTACATGCTGCTGTCAGTGGTGTATGAAACCCACCTTGTAGATTGATATCAGCTCCGGCTTCAATAAGCTCCTTCACTAAACTCATATGGCCACCCTCACATACTGCTGTCAGTGATGTATGAACCCCACTTTGTGGATTGATATCAGCTTCGGCTTCTATAAGCTCATTCACTACACTCCTGTGTCCACCCTTATATGCTGCTGTCAGTGGTGTATGAAACTTACCTTGTTGATTGATATCAGCTCCGGCTTTTATAAGCTCCTTCACTACACTCATATGTCCACCCTCACATGCTGCTGTTAATGGTGTATCAAACTCACCTTGTAGATTGATATCAGCTCCGGCTTAAATAAGCTCTTTCACTACACTCATATGTCCACCCTTACATGCTGCTGTCAATGGTGTATCATCAAACAAATATTTGGTTTTTTTGTTTGTCATTTTTATATCGACAAACTTGATTAAAATATTTACAGTTTCCAAATCACCACTGTAACAACTCAATACAAATAAGCGGTCATGTTCAAAATTGGACCGACTATTTTCCTGTTTTTGATTTGTTGTATCACATATGGAGTTAAATAAAGATAATTTGACTGTTGCAATATATTTTTCAGTGTTATTTTCTCCTTTTTTTGTTTCATATATTAACCTTGGGCTAAAGGAATTCCAAAATAGTTCAATCTTTGTTTCGTTGTGTAATTCAATTTGTTTCAAAATATATTTTAGGATCTGATTGTGTCCGTAGTAAACTACCCAACTGATAACCCTCACACTGTAATTTATTTCTCTATTATCAATCCTCTCATTCACCAGCACCGCCTGTCTGCTCCATTCTCTGCTCCTCTCATCCAACCTCTCAATCTTCTCCCTCACACGCTTTCCTTTACTCACAACCTTAGATGCATCTTTCTGTTCTGACAAGAATAAAGCCTTTAACTCAGTGTAGGACTTTGTCTCTAACACCCCAATAAAAGCCTGACACACCTTCGGATGTTTCAAAATATTATTCATAAAAACATCATACAGCTCCATATTCTCTATATCTCTGTAAAAACGCTCTGCTAACATTGGATATTGATCCTCTTTTAACGTAAGAACGAGATCAAACAAATCCTGGCTTCTTTTACTACTTATTGATTCATGCTCCTCACCAATAAACACTTCATTTACAACTTGTTTAAATTCAACCTCCGACTCTCCTTCACATTCTTGTACTTTCACATTATTAGCAATGAAACCACAGATAATATATTGCAAAAGAAGATCTGGAAACTGAGAACCAAAATGATATGAAAGAATTTCAAATACAGAGTCATGAATAATAGTGTACTCAGTACCACAGAGTTTTGTGTAAGTCCCATCCATAGCTGCCAATGCTTTTACAAATCTAAATGCATCAGTGTTACTTTCAACTTCACAATATTCTAATACTTTTGATTTCATCTCCAAGAAAACAACGTTTCCAGTGCTGTTCAATATTTCTTTTGATAGTTTATTGTCATTTAACATGCACAAGACCAATGTAGCATAGCATAAACTATTTTGCACTTGCATTTTATCAAATTCTTCTAATATACATTCAGCTGGACGGGTAAAAAACCTTTCAACATTCTTTCTAAATTTCTTCACTTTTGAATATAGTTTACACAACAGAGGAAATAAACCCAATGTTTCTGCCAGTAATATAGGGGACAACAAATCTCTATCCAAGTCGTGTTTCTCCAGGATCGCTTTCTTATCTTCATCGTTCAATGCATTTTTGCAGCTATGCATCTTAATTGTGTTTTTTTCATGTGAGAAAAATGATTTGTAACATTCATTAAAAACTGCTTCCCTACATGACATTAATATCTTTGTATTTCTATTGGAAGGATTTGAAATTCTTTTTTCATAGTCTATCAATGACTCTAACTTTTGTTTTTGCAGACCTAAAACACCTACCACATCATCAATGACAAAAACCTGTGGATGACGCGAGTCAGAATAATCTTCAATCTTCCCGATATCTGTAATCGGTACAACCTCGTATCCTTCTCTCTGGAGCATCAGGGCTAAGTGATGAATAGTCGCCGATTTTCCTGATCCTGGGACACCAACAAATGTCATGTAAGATTGCTTTCTGACTTGATCCAACATTGCAGAAAAACTGTGGCTTTCACTGTAAACCCCATCTTCCTCTTTCCATCGTGTGAGATCTTTTTCAAAAATGTCTATAATGAATTGATATAGCGAGTTATTTTATAATTTTTTCAACTTGTCAATAATGTAATTACCTGGCTTACATAGTAATAAAACGTTTAACACAGAAAAAATAAGCAAATGCCTAACAAAGTATGGTGTACATGATACTACATGCTTGTGGTTATTTTAAGAAAGATAAATTTGCAGGATCGAATTTGAAGAAATGCTGTAATTTATGGATTTCTGAAGAATTTAAAAAGTTTAAAGAAGTATATAAGGTAAGGGCCATTTAAGGCCCCCACTCAGAAAATGTTTATCTTTACTATGGAGAGGGATAAGGCAAGGATGTTACTAAAAATATATAATTAAATTTAATCTGGCGTTCCGTTGCCATGGAAACCGTCGTCAAAATCATACACCTTCAGACCTCTAAATCTGACATCTAATGCCATCTATTTTTATTTAACCGATCTTTAATCTTGATACCAACTATATTGTCTAAAGATAATGATAGTATGTATACTTTGGGATATGTCAAAGTGACTATTTTACTAAGAAAATATATTTTAAATTTAATAGTTATTCCGTTACCATGGAAACTGTATTCAAACTTATTCCTTTTTATCTGAAATTACGGCTTTATTGACAATTAAGAAATCTGTGATTTTGGTAGCATATATTAAATATTAAAAATCTGTTTTTAGCATATAGGTCACAGTCAAGTTCACAAGGTCTTTGACCTTAGTGTCATTTGAAAACACTTAACTAGTGAAGTATGCATACCAAATATAAAGTCTATCTCCTATGGTTCAAAAGTTGGAGCGAAAGTTCGAAAAATTTTTTTTAGCATTTAGGTCACAGTCAAGGTCACAATGTCATTGACCTTGGTGTCAGTTGAAAGTGTTTAATAATTAGTGGAGTATGCATTCTAAATATGAAGTCTCTATCTCGAATGGTTCAAAAGTAATTGCAAAGGTTAAAGTTGACAAATGACAGACAAACAGTAAAAACAGACAGAAAAACAGCTAAACACACAAACAGACAGACAGGACAAAACTAATATACGCCCATAATAAATTCAGACGCATAAATATTTAACATTTTAACAAATACTTGGTATTGAGGGACGTAGTTGTTGACAGGAATCAACTTTTCTCTCTTACAAAAAGTCTGTCCGTTAATGCAGTCCTTTCCGATAATAACCTTGTAACTTAGAAAAACTAGAAGTTTATATTCTAGTACATGTATACATTATGATTTATGATTTGATTAAATCTCTAATTCAAAGTCTTGTCTAAAATTGTTATACCATAATTATTTATAAAATTCAAATCACTGGCAGATGAAAATATGAAAAATGCTATTAATTGGATTTTATCATTTATCATTTTACGGAGGAATTCACAAAAAAAAAACATCTGTATCATTCAGCATGATTTTTCAATATGAACATTAAAATTTTGCATAGCATGATCATATTTGAAGTGCAGAAATAAGTAGTGAAACAACATATAAACGAAGGCTTTTATGCATAAAATTATAACACAAGCCAATCCATTGATCATCTTCATGAATTCGAAAAATCTGACAGTTATTCCTTATATTTACATGCTTTAATTCCGCCAATCCACGGGCTCCAAGCCTGCTTCTCTCTAGGTGTTGTCCCGCCCTGCACGTGGTTTTTTTTGGAACCGCGCCAAAACATTCATGAGGAAATCAATTACATTTACAATTGGTAATTTTATCTCGGACAAAGACATTGGAAATGTAAATATTTAGGCCTATTTATTTTTTTTATTTTGTACATATAAATTATGCAATAAAATTAAATCATAGGAATATTAATATTATTTTTGTTGTCTAGTTGTACTAAATATTTATAGAAAAAAAAACATTATTATTATTTTTTTTTTTGGTTTTATTGAAATTACCAATGCCCCGAACTTCTTAGGATAACGTTGAATTTATTACACGTCTGGGTGGCCGTACATTTGTTGCCTTGTAAACAGGTAAACAATGAACGATACGGGAAGAAATGACAAGAAGTAGATATAGAAATATGAACACACACAATGAACGTATTTTAACATGATCAAATAATTTTATAAAATGTATACTGTGTATATATTTCTTCTGTGAACTGATTTAATGTACAGTCGAGCGATTCGAAGGTCAAACTCGATCATCGTGTTTCTTGAGATCCACACCCGCACATTCACACATCAACAGATCAATGTTGATACCCATAAAATATATTCTTTAATCACAAATATGTTTCAGAAAAAGATATTTCTAGAACTTTACGTTGGAAAATATACATGAAGCAATCGATAGATGATGCTACCTTCGATAAAAAAAAAAATTCAACACATGTCAACAACGTCGTCGTCATTCTCCGTACATGCTTGTGACGTCATGCGAGTCAGAAAGTGCTATTTTTCTCAAGGGTTTTTAATTTTTTAAGTGTGAGCGACTTTATGAACAAGATTGATTTTTTAAATGAAGACTTTTTTTGAAAATATCTTTTACGTGTGTAAATATCTTTCTTGTTCAAGGCGTCGCACATACCTAAAATCGCCGATAACGATGCTAAAAATGCCATTTTTAGGCGTTTTTTTGTAAACTTAGTCACTTTAAACCTTCAATTCTCTTCATATTACTTAAATCAACATATCAATTTAACTATAAAAGAAAAGTATAAATTCTAATCTTTCAAAAAATATCAATATCATTGAGGTTTACTGGCGTTTAAATTGTAACAAAAACGGGGGCCAAACTATTATAGAAACCCTATATAGTTCTTTGAAAATCAATTATAATTCAACCATCGATTACATATCACCTAAATTCATAAAACTTTTTAATTTCAATTGAAAAGCCAATTTACATGTTGAAAATATCCATGTTTTCATTTTCACCTGCTTTCATCTAAATTACATCTTTAAAGAATTTTTCGATCTGAATTATGATATATTTGTTTAAAAATGTAACCTTATTGTGAATCCATTGATGTATAATTCATAACATGAATAAAATAATTTGAAGTCACAAATTTTAAACTTTAAAATCTGAAATGCATTCCTCCTACAGTTTAAAAAGGCTTGGTATTGATTCTATATTAGGAAAATAGATTGTTTTGAAAGCAAAACAAAAAGTTATCAGTATTCATTTAACAAAATGAGGTAAATAAGGACCACTTCAAAATTAACAATTTTTAATAAAAATTCTTGCATCAAAATTATTTTTTCTTGAATTTTCAAGAATGTTAATAAATACATAATTTTGGTACATTTTTTAATATCTAAACTTTTCAATTCAGTGACAAATTATGGTCGTTTGTTGTTTAACGTATTTCTTTTGAATTTTTCACTCATTTCGTGACGCATCCACTTGTCGGTGGATTGCTGCAAATTAAAACTTATATACTCGGCACCAGGGCCATTTAAGCAGTGAGGAATCTTTATCGAGCGGTTGAAAAAGTCTCATCAGACAATTCTCTATGTCCCGTGGTGGATTTGAACCCAGGACATAAGGATCAGCTTTTTACGCCGTGACTCTACAGCAGACACTCTAACCACTGAGTCATGCGGGCGACTGAGACTAATAATGTTAATCATCAAGAAAAAAATTAATTCTTTTACTAATACAAAAGCAAAAAATGTAGATTTTATAATTTCTTATTTCTTGCACAATTCTGAAGGAAAGAAATATATAATTCATTCTGATTATGTATTTCAGAACGTTTATTTCCACCATGGAAATATAAACACTAATGTATTTACAGTTCAATCCACTTTTTAAAATCACTAAGGTTTTCTCACAAATTAAGGTCACATTGTTATAATGCAACATTGTGTTATGTAACAACAAAAAATATTTCAGAAATTATTTATAACTTAATTTTGATTATATCCTGTTACTTTAAACATAGTAGGATGTTTATACACTCATCAATGATATTTTATGAGAGTTTCCGAATGTTTTTTTTTTCATGGTATCTAATCAAATGCAACCATCTTTGTATTTGTTCATGTTAAAGCATAGTTTTCCCTTGTCTTAATAGAAAAACAATGCAAACATGTACATTCTATTTTCTGTACATCCTTTTACATGATTTCTTTACGCAGTTTTGTCTTTTTTTGGCGCTGCATTTCGACAAAACCAAGGCAAGTATGGAAAATGTGCAAAATATCTGCAAGAAGTCAATTTGAACATTTCAACCAAATAGTATCAAAAAGTTCTTTTAATTAATTTATAAGTACCTATGATAGAATCATACACATTTAACATAATACAATTTATAAAAAAAAAATTCACAAACATTGACTTTTAGAACTTAAAATAATGATTGTAGAGACTATGCACCTTTAAAATAAAATTTTGGATGATATAACGGTTGTGTCGCATACTGAAACTCGATAATTTTAAGTTTTATTGCAAGAAAAATGTTACTTTAATTTGTGAAAGAAAAATGTGAGTTTAAAAAGTGTGTTACGCCGTACAGTATAAAGTTTTAAGTGAAAAGGGTCATGGTTAATGAATTTTTTGTTTTAATTTCACCAACATACCTCTAACGTTCGGAGGGATTACAGACTTTGGTGTTTTGATTTTATCTGAAAAAAAAAACAAAAATAAGAATTTATGGACAGCATTTTTATGAAAATTACTTTTTTTATTTATTTTATTTTAAAAGTTATATTATAACAGGTTTGGGGCTAAATTGTGTCACTGGTCCAACAAAATACATGTTGCCATTGAACCAAATTCAATAAATATACAGGGACAATTACAAATGCGTATCTCCTATATGTATTTTGTAGGGGTCGGAGGAGGTACTGTAGAGGCAGAAATATTTGTGGGGATACAATTTCGTTTATTTCGTCCTTAACAATCACCACACGAATTTTTTATAGGACTATATTTTGCATTTGTTTAATTTCGAAACAAGGACATTTGATATACACGAAATATTTGTAGATGACAAATAAATGAAATTTTATGCCCACAAAAATTTATGAAATTTTAATCTTAAGCATAGGACTGAGAGTTTCCACATACTTCACTCCAATTAAATTGCAGCAGATGGATCTAATACATCACTCATAACATCTCTCTATAAAGTACGAAAATGTGAGCGTGGAACTTTTTTCCAGATTTGTCTTCTTATTACAAACATTTTTTTTTCAAGAATACGATAAAATTCAGAATGCCACTACCCCAAAGCCGATGTGAGCAGACCCGAGCGAATGGAATGATATCTTATGCTCAACCTCTTTAGTACCGCAAAACAACTATCACTCCTCCATGACACCTGATCCCATCTCTGATGTCTTAGAGGACATCGGATGCTCTTCTCCTATTTTGTACTTTTTGATTGACTTTTGGTCTAGAATACTATACAATTATTGTTGATTTTTAGGTCAATACAATGATTTAGCCATTTGAGGAGTTCAGTATTCACCGAGCCCAAAGAGCGATGTGAATATTGTACTTCAAAAATGGTTAAATCATTGCATTGACCAAAAAAATAGAAATAAGTGTTTTATTAAATGATTCATTGATAAAATGATAAAGCTCATTACTTGTTTGAATTTAATTGAGTCCAAGCCAAATACAAGAGAGAAGCAGAATTAAAATATAAATAAACCTTACCAATCGTATCAGTTTGAAATGTTTTTATCAATTGTAATTGCCATGAAAAAAAATATATGTCAGTCTGTTTTACAAAATTGATTTTGAAAGGAAGGAGTATTAGCAGGGAAAATGACTGCCAAAAGGTTAATATTGTTGTTCAGTAAAAAAGTTGGAGAGGTGGGGGTTAGTCCCTGCATCCCCTCTTACCACCCGCACCTGAAAATGTGTAGCCGTTTATGTTTTGTTCACGTGAAAACAAGTCATAGTCGTTTAAAAAGCTTTACAAAACAATTTGTTTTAATTTGAAATTTACCCGACTATTTTTAGATCAATGTAAAGAAAATAAATCCTTGGAACTTCACGTGCAGGTCAATACAACGTAGTTTTCTAACATTATTTGATCTCAGCCACTAAGAGAGATAGAAATTATTCAGTCATATAATAATGTTCGTTATCTCTATATGTTTCATCAGTTGCTTTAATACCCAAACCAATTTATTGGTTTTTTTATCATACACAAGAAAGATGACTTTGACAAATTAGCTTAAAAAATATAAATATATTCAAGTTCAAATTGGAAGTATTAAAGTCTATATGAAAATTATCAAATGTCAACCAAACCTGAGTTATATGGTTTAATTATCAAAGATTCAAATTTTGACATCATTAGAATTAAAAATAAATTTGATTTGAAAGATATTTCTATTCAAAGCATGTCAAAAAATCTTAAGTTTTACCTCTGAAAATGGAATCCATCTTTTCTTTAATATAAATGTACTTACCAAAGATTTTTAGCATTTTATTGTGATTTTCAATTCTGTCTATCTCACTCTCTTCTAATTTTCCTGGAAGAAAAAAAATTAAGCCAGCATTAATTGCAGAAACATATACAAATAGTGTTTTATAAAAGATTTATTCATAACTTTAATGACAGAATTCTTCGTGTTAATTACGTTTCAGGCCTTGGACTATTTTCCTAGTTTCTGCATCTTCTTCAGCCTGTTTCCTCAGTTGTTCTATGTAATGGCAGTCACGGATAGGGTCCATTGTCTCATGTCTCAAAAAATCCACCTCTTTTTCAAACTGGTTCCCGTTATTAAGGAAAGAATCAACATCCACAACTGCTGATCTTACAGTGGACCAGATTGAGTTGAAATCAACATTGGCGAGGACAGGACTAGAAGAATGAACACACTGATTTCTGGCAATGCGGATTCTCTCAATGTTAGCAGAGAGAGATCGATC